TGTGTGTGTGTGACAGTGGAGGTTCTGTTGATGGCCCCTCTTCTGTTGCACTCCCCGCTGCTGTGTGTGTGGGTGTGTATGTGGGTGCTGTGTGTGTATGTGGGTGTGGGTGTGTGTGGGGGGGAGGGCCTGTGTGTCTGTTGTTCTGTTGATGGCAGCTGTTCGGTTGCACTCCCCACACTGCGAGGATGCCTCTACCATGGCGTCACTGCTGCCTCCGGAGAGACCCTTCCTGACCCACTGGACCCCACCTGCTCCCTCTGCACCTGCCAGGTGAGGCGGTCCCTTTGGGACCTTGGTAAGCTTTCCTCCCTTGATCCTCCTCTCTGGCCAGAAGAGACCATCTCCTCCACTCAGGTGGCAAGGGGTACACTGTGCCTTGACATCTCATGGGACAGGACTGGGCTCAGGTCTCCCAGGCCAAGGGTGGGGGCTTGGGCCCCTGCAGGCTCAGTAGAGGCTCCAGCCCTGGGGAAACGTGCAGTCCAGTTGAGGGTGTGATGGGTCTCTCTCCCCTAGGAAGGTTCCATGCGCTGCCAGAAGAAGCCATGTCCCCCTGCTCTCTGCCCCCACCCCTCTCCAGGCCCCTGCTTCTGCCCTGTTTGCCACAGTGAGCTGCCTTCCTCGTGCCCGACGCCCATGCCCTTCCCCATATCTCCCTCCCCGTTTCCTTCCTGCCAAGCCTAAGGTTGGGCCGAACAGGGCAGGGTGGTACAGGCCCCCCCCCAGGAGATGTGTCCCTCACAGGCTGCGTCACTCAGGGTCAGGAGTACCAGGATGGGGAGGAGTTTGAGGGACCAGCAGGCAGCTGTGAGCGGTGTCGCTGTCAGGTATGGCAGGAGGTAGGGGCGTGGAGTGGCGCCTGGATCATGTCACCTCTGTGCCCCAGCCTCGGCAGCAAGCCAGTGTCCCTGCATCTCCTACAGGCTGGCCAAGTCAGCTGTGTGCGGCTGCGGTGCCCACCCCTTCCCTGCCAGCTCCAGGTCACCGAGCAGGGGAGCTGCTGCCCTCGCTGCAGAGGTATAGCCAGCCCCAGTCCCACCCCTGGCTTCAGCCCCTTGGCCCAGTGTCCCTGTGTCCACCCCAACTCCCTCCCCTCAGCCAGCTCTTCTCCCATCTCCCTGCCCCCCACAACTGTCCCTTGCACAACCTTGCCACCTTCAGCTTCTCCTGCCTCTTCCTGTCCTGGCCTGCCCAGACCATCCCCCTTCCAGGTGCTGGTTAGAGTTCCCTCAAAGCTGCCTTTCTTGAGCTAGGTGTGGCGGCTCACACTTGTAACCCCAGCACTTTGGGAGGCCAAGGTGGGAGGATCACTTGAGCCCAGGAGTTTGAGGCTGCAGTGAGCTGCATTTGCAGCACTGCATTCCAGCCTGGGAAACAAAGAAGACTGTCTAAAAATAAAATAAAAAGCTGCCTCTCTTTCTAACCACACCCCATTCATCATCATCATCATCATCACCACCATTATCAAGACACCTGACATTTAGTGAGCAGGTAGCATGAGCCGGACCCTGTGCACTTTGCCTGTATTATCTCATTTAATCAGCACAACAACTTACCAGATAAGCACTCTTCTTCCTCCTATTTCACCGATGAGAAAGTGGAGGTACAGAGAGGTAGAGAAGGTGGCAGGTGGCTGGGCGCAGTGGCTCACACCTGTAATCCTAGCACTTTGGAAAGCTGAGGCAGGTGGATCACCTTAGGTCAGGAGTTCAAGACCAGCCTGGCCAACATGGTGAAATTCTGTCTCTACTAAAAATACAAAAATTAGCTGGATGTAGTGGCACATGCCTATGATCCCAGCTACTGGGGAGGCTGAGAAAGGAGAATCTCTCGAACCTGGGAGGTAGAGGTTGCAGTGAGCCCAGATCCCGCCACTGCACTCCAACCTGTGTATGAGAACGAGACTCCACCTCCAAAAAAAAAAAAAAAGAAGAAGAAGAAGAAGGTGGCGGCAGAGTCAGGATGGGCATCAGGACCATCTGGCTCTGAACATGAACTTTTCTTAGCCTGCCCGCTCGCCCCACACACAGCCCAGCGTGGTGTTTCTACAGAACCACGGAACTGTTTTGGCATTTCACTTGCTCTGGGAGGGAGGCAGGACAGAGGAAATCCTCACTTAACAGATGAGGAGACTGAGGTGCAGAGAGATTGAGTTACGTTAGGCACATGGTTAGCGATGGAGCCATTCATCTGGTTCACATGCATTTACGACACATCTGCTGCATGCCAGGTATTGTGGCCAGTGCAGGCTGTGCTGGGCAGTGCCTGCTGCCTGGAGCTTGGTCTCGAGAGCAGGCAGGAACAGAACAGGATTAGAATCCAGGTGTTCTGAACCTTCCACAACAGCCAGCAGTCCTGCCCCATCCCACCTTCCTACCACATCCCTGCAGACCCCCCTCCTGGCACCACATGCCTAGGTGGTCACTGAGGGTGGGAGACCAAGAGCAGATGTCCAGATCTCAGCCTCCAAGCTCACCCCTGCCCACCTTGCACCGCAGGCTGCCTGGCTTATGGGGAAGAACACCCTGAAGGCAGTAGCTGGGTGCCTCCTGACAGTCCCTGCTCCTCCTGCGTGTGTCACGAGGGCATCATCACCTGTGCACGCGTCCAGTGCATCAGCTCCTGTGCCCAACCCCACCAGGGGCCCCATGACTGCTGCCCTCGATGCTCTGGTACTGGAAGCCTGGGGTGGGAGGGGAAAGCCAAGAAGGGAGCCCTGGGACCACACCTCTCTGTCTCTGCTGGGCCGGGTGGCAGAGACAGGCAGCTGGAGATGTGGCCTCCGTTCTTGGGCACACCCCACGCCCTGGGGTCTGGGGAGGCTGGAGACAGAGGACTCCACCCCGGTCTCACTGTCAGGCCCCCTGGTCTCATTCTGCTCTCACCCCACCTCGAAGACTGTGAACATGAGGGCCGGAAGTACGAGCCCGGGGAGAGCTTCCAGCCTGGGGCAGATCCCTGTGAAGTGTGCATCTGTGAGGTGAGCAAGGGCACAGTGGAGGGCCTGGGGCACTTCGTGGGGTGGGGAGCGGGCAGCATGGGATGAGGCCCAGCCAAACTGGACACTGGCTGGAGTGGGCACTCTGGGGACCAGACGAGCGTATCCCTCGGCCAGGAAGCGAGGCAGGCCCAGGGCTAACAGGGCCCCTCTTTCTAACCACACCCCATTCATCATTATCATCTGGGTCTGGGTTTAGACAAGGAGCCCAGGTTCCAAGTGTTTGGGAGGCCCTGGGTGGCCCCCTGGCTGCGATGTGGGGCATATGGCCGGGGAGCCACCTGGGATGGGGCTGGGGGTCATATTGTGGAGATTCTGTTTGAAAGGCCATGGAAGGGCTTGGAGCAGGCAAATGACATCACAGGTCAGGGGACTTAGCCATGGGGGTGGGGTGGAGGATGGCCTGAGCCTGCAGGAGGATCAGAGGTCACATGAGGACTCAGGCCCAAGTGACTGAAAAGAGAAGGAGACATCTCAGACGCTAGGGCATGGGGTGAGGAGCACATCTAGGGGACACTGAGTCCCTCTTAAGCCTTGAGTTCAGAGCCTGAGAGGTTCCAGGGGGTGGGGGCTGGGGAAAAGTCCCCGCCAAGGCAGCTCTGGGTTTTCCTGGCCCAGAACCCACCGCTACTCTCTCATTCTTGTAGCCACAGCCTGAGGGGCCTCCCAGCCTTCGCTGTCACCGGCGGCAGTGCCCCAGCCTGGTGGGCTGCCCCCCCAGCCAGCTCCTGTCTCCTGGGCCCCAGCACTGCTGTCCCACCTGTGCCCGTGAGTCCAGGGCTGTGGGGGTGGATATGAGGGTAGGGCTGCCGGCCTTCCTCCCCAGTCCCAGCCCCTCATTTTTGCTGACACCAGCGGACTGTTCTGTAACCCCATGCCTGGCTAAGCGATCAGGGAGCTGGGGAAGCTGGGGAAGCTGGCAGCTTGCCTCTCCATAGCTGGGTGCAGTTTGTGGAGCATCTTGGCCAGCAGGTGACGCTGCAGAGCGACAGTTGTGCTGAGACGTGAGGACCAGGACCAAGCATATCACTGAAATAATAACCTACCTTTGCAGTATAGGTTAACATTATCCTTACACAGAAAAAACAGACTTTTAATTATGATAATCCTCTTATTTTCTCCAATTTGTTTTTTTGGTTTTTTTGTTTCTGTTTTCATTTTTTGAGATAGAATCTCAGTTTGTTGCCAGGCTGGGGTGTGGTGGCGCGATCTAGGCTCACTGCAACCTGTGGATTCAAAGGATTCTCCTGCCTCAGCCTCCCGAGTAGCTGGGATTACAGGCATGCACCACCACATCTGGCTAACTTTGTATTTTTAGTAGAGATGAGGTTTTACCATGTTGGCCAGGCTGGTCTCAAACTCCTGACCTCAGGTGATCCACCAGCCTCAGCTTCCCAAAGTGCTGGGATTACAGGCTTGAGCCACCAGGCCCAGGTTTTCTTTTCTTTTCTTTTTTTTTTTTTTTTGCTGTGGTAAAAGACACTAAAATATACCATCCTAACCATTTTTAAGTGCACAGTTTGTGGTATTAATTATGTTTGTAATGCTGTGCAGCCATCCCTGCCATCCAGCAGAGTGCTGCTCTGATCAACACTTGCTAGGGGTTACTTCAGGGGAAGAGAAGAAGACTAACATTTATTAAGCACCTACTGCATGCCACACACTGTACTTGGCACTCTTAATAAAGTCTCTCACTTTGTTTTCACAGTTACCCAGTGAGGGAAGTATTATTACTCTCTTTTTACATATTAAGAAACTGAGGCTCCGAGAGGTGGATTAATCTAACCTAATGAGCACAGGCACTGAGCGCTGGCATCAGGATTCCAACCTAGGACGCCTGGCTGTGTGCTTCCCTGCGTGTCGCAGCCGCACTGTATTACAGATAGCTGGAGGGACAGCAGGTGCTCACGTTGGCCATTCTTAGTGACCTCAGGCTAAGAAGCCACCCTCCGTCTGTTTCCAGACACCTTGCACCCCCACCTGGCCCCAAATAATAGCCTAGCAAAGTTTCTTTTAAAACGTGTAAATTGGGCGGGGTGCGGTGGCTCATGCCTGAAATCTCAGCACTTTGGGAGGCTGGGGCAGGTGGATCATGAGGTCAGGAGTTGACCAGCCTGACCAACATGGCGAAACCCTGTCTCTACTAAACATACAAAAATTAGCTAGGCGTGGTGGTGGGCGCATGTAATCCCAGCTACTCAGGAGGCTGAGGCAGGAGAATCACTTGAACCCAGGAGGCGGAGGTTGCAGTGAGCCAAGATCACACCATTGCACTCCAGCCTGGGCGATAGAATGAGACTCCGTCTGGAAAAAAAAAACCAAAAAACAGCATAGATTTGACTGAACTAAAGAGAAAGAGGACTTATCCTCCTTGGAGTCAAGGTGCTGGGGATATGGGTATGCCCAGGAGTTCCAGTTAGAAGTCTGGGGACATGGTGCATGGGGACAGCTGGGATTTCCAGCCCTGTGCCCCTCTTTCTGTGCCCCACTCTGGGTTCTTGTCTTCACAGAGGCTTTGAGTAACTGTTCAGAGGGCCTGCTGGGATCTGAGCTGGCCCCACCAGACCCCTGCTACATATGCCAGTGCCAGGTGAGCCCTCCTGCTTTGGGGACTCACAGAGCCCCTCTTCTGCCTTCCCTGTGGGCCGTGGCTGCCGCTCCTTTCCTGCAGTGGCTCTGGGGCTCTCCGCTCACCCTGACATTCGCCTGCTTGTCCTGACTGTCACATCCTGCCTACACCCGACTCCTCTGCCAGTTCCCTGAGATCGGCCGTTCTCTGCCTCTTGTGTTCCATGGGCAGGACCTGACCTGGCTCTGCGTTCACCAGGCCTGTCCTGAGCTCAGCTGTCCCCTCTCAGAGCGCCACACTCCTCCTGGGAGCTGCTGCCCCGTGTGCCAGGGTAAGTACCCAGCCTTGGCCTCCACCCTCAGAGAGGAGCCCGGGGGAAGACAGGAAGGGGAGGCATTCATGGGCCAAGTGGGTAGCCCAGGGCCTGTACTTGATTTCTAGGAAAGAATGCAGGGTAGGCTGGGCGTGGTGGCTCACGCCTGTAATCCCAGCACTTTGGGAGGCCGAGGCAGGTGGATCACCTGAGGTCAGGAGATCGAGACCAGCCTGGCTAACACAGTGAAACCACATCTCTACTAAAAATACAAAAAATCAGCAGGGCGTGGTGGCACGCGCCTGTAATCCCAGCTTCTTGGTAGGCCAAGGCAGGAGAATTGCTTGAACCCTGGAGGCAGAGGTTGCAGTGAGCTGAGATCACGCCACTGCACTCCAGCCTTGGCAACAGAGTGAGACTCAGTCTCAAAAAGAAAAAAAAGAATGTGGGGGTCATTTCTCTCTAGAAACAGAGGGGGGCTGTTCCTTAAGGTGGAAGAGACCCATAAGGCAGGGGAAGCTAGGATGAAGCCTAGATTCTCAAGGCCTGGCCTGATGCCTGTCGGGGCTCCAGAACCCCAGGCCCACTAAGAGGGCATTGCATGGCTGATCAGGCAGCTGGCCTAGAGTGGGGTTCCAGCCTCTGGCTATTTGGGCTCCTAGGACCCTAGAGACATCCCGAGCACCGACGCGAGGCCTGATGTCTAATAGGCTCCCTGGATATTGGCTGAAGAAATCAACACCATCAGGGTGCTAGGGAAATGGAGGGGGTGCTTTCCTGTCATGAAATGCGGGGTGAGCTCTGGGGAGGGCGGATGCGGCTGGAGGAACAGTGGCTGCCCATCCCATGTCTCCCTCCTCAGAATGTGTGGTGGAAGCCGAGGGCCGGAGAATGGCAGATGGAGAGAGCTGGCGGGACCCCAGCAATGCCTGCATTGCCTGCACGTGCCGAGTGAGCAAGGGTGGGGCTGGGAGGGTGGAGGACCTCACAGATGGTAAAAGGAGGAGTGTCCAACACTCCAACACTCCACCAGCAAATGTGAGACGGAGTCTTGCTCTGCCACCAGGCCGGAGTGCAGTAGTGCGATCTCAACTCACTGCAACCTCCGCCTCCTGGGTTCAAGCAATACTCCTTCAGCCCCCCAAGTAGCTGAAGGTGGCATTTGCCACCACGCCCAGCTAATTTTTTGCTATTTTTAGTAGAGGCAAGGTTTCACCATGCCGGCCAGGATGGTCTCGATCTCTTGACCTTGTGATCCACTCGCCTTGGCCTCCCAAAGTGCTGGGATTACAGGCATGAGCCACCGTGCCCTGCAAATATGGGGTCTTTAAGGGGCAGGAGCATCCCTGCGTCAGGTCACAGAGCCGAAGGCTGGATTTCATTCTCCACTTGAACTATGAAGAGTGTGTTGTGGGAGGGGCAGGCGGAAGCTGTGCCCAGAGGCCCCCAGAAGCATGAGGCCAGGGACTCTGGCCATGCAGGAAACCTCAAAACAGTGATGTCTGTCCTCAGGGGGGCCATGTGGAGTGCCACCTCGAGGAGTGCCAGGCCCTCTCCTGCCCCCATGGCTGGGCGAAGGTGCCCCAGGCTGGCAGCTGCTGTGAGCGATGCCAAGGTGCACGGCCAGGATGATGGGGGAGGGGTAAGCCAGACCCTCTGGGTGTGTGGGAGGGGCAGCTGACCCTCCCAGCTCCTATCCTTTCAGCTCCCACCCAGTCCTGTGTGCACCAGGGCCGTGAGGTGGCCTCTGGAGAGCACTGGACCGTGGATGCCTGCACCAGCTGCTCTTGCATGGCAGGCACCGTGCATTGCCAGAGCCAGCGCTGCTCACCGCTCTCGTGTGGCCCCGTGAGTACGCAATCTAAGGTGGTGGAGACAGGGTGGGGGCTCATGGTACTGACATCCTGGTGTGACCAGGCATAAAAGAGGGAGGCTGGGCTCCTGCAGCCAGCCTGGAGCTGGGGACGGTTCAGTTCCCACTGCAGCCATGAAGTGGTGCCCTGACCTTGCTTGCAGGGAATTTGGGGGCCGGAGTCCTGGAGCTCCCTGGAGAGGCCTGGGAGATGCTTGGTTTTCTGGGAGGGTCTTCAAGGGGCATGGCAGGGAGTGCGGGGTGTCTGACAGTGTCTGGGGCTGAATGCAGGACAAGGCCCCTGCCCTGAGTCCTGGCAGCTGCTGCCCCCACTGCCTGCCTCGGCCCGCTTCCTGCATGGCCTTTGGAGACCCCCATTACCGCACCTTCGACGGCCGCCTGCTGCACTTCCAGGGCAGTTGCAGCTATGTGCTGGCCAAGGACTGCCACGGCAGGGACTTCAGGTGCGCAAGCCCCTCTCTCTTCCCCTGACCCCTACACCCAGCCCTGCTGACCAGGGGCACCCGGGACTTTCCCGCCCACAGTGTGCATGTGACCAACGATGATCGGGGCCGGCGTGGCGTGGCCTGGACCCAGGAGGTGGCAGTGCTGCTGGGAGATTTGGCTGTGCGGCTGCTGCAGGGCGGGGCAGTCACGGTGAGCAAAGCCCAGAGAGCGGAGGAATGTGGGTCCCGTGCTGTCCACCCTTGCTCTCTGACGTTGCCCCTCCTCCCACCCCCCTTCTCTTCCAGGTGGATGGGCGCCCGGTGGCCTTGCCCTTCTTGCAGGAGCCGCTGCTGTACGTGGAGCTGCGAGGTCGCACCGTGATCCTGCACGCCCAGCTGGGGCTCCAGGTGCGGTTCCAGGGCAGTCTGGATGGGCTGCCTGCCTGAGAGCATCAGTCCTGTTTAGGCTTCTGCATCTGTAGAGGGAGTGGGGATGCCAGCTACCTCCTGGCCAAAACAGGCAAGGAGTGGGGTGCAGGGGTGTGAGGGGACGTAGATCAGGGTCAGAGATCTCCCGGGCAGTCTGGGGAGTTCTGAGCCGGGTTTCTAACCTTGGCTCAGTCTCTTAAGCCGCCCCCAGCCTCCTCTGGGCCTCAGATTTCTCATCTGTAAATTAGGGAAGGGGAAGGGTCAGTGGCAGTGGGGAGCATCTCAGCTAAAGTCTCCTGGGGGCTGCCTCAGGTTCCTTCCAAGTCTCATGTGGAAGAGTAATTTGCCCCCTGCCCCCTGCCCCCAGCAGGAAACACAACCTGTAAATTCATAGAATAAGGCCGTGTACACTTCTGATCCGAGCTCTAACTGCTTGTCCTCTACAAGGCCCAGATGCCAATGAGAAAGTGAATCCCTGGAAAGGGGGTTGCATTTCACCTGGGGCCCAGTTCAGGGATGGCAGCGGGAGAAGTTGCCCTCTTGTGGGAGCTGTGGGCAGCTCCTCCTGGCAGCTGTCTATGTGCAAGGCTGGCACAGCATGCGTCCACTTGGCCTTGGCCATGGTGGTGTTTCTTCCAAGGGGAGCCTCCACCTGTCCATTCTCCTCCCCTGCAGCACTGGCTTCGATGAACACAGTGCCTGGGGCCATGGTGGACCCCAGGCTTCTGGAGGCCCCTGTCCCCTGCTCCTCAGTCCCAGGCCTCTCCACACAGGTGCTGTGGGATGGGCAGTCCCAGGTAGAGGTGAGCGTACCTGGCTCCTACCAGGGCCGGACTTGTGGACTCTGTGGGAACTTCAACGGCTTCGCCCAGGATGATCTACAGGGCCCTGAGGGGCGGCTCCTGCCCACAGAGGCTGCATTTGGGAACAGCTGGCAGGTTAGTGGCACAGGAACTGGGGATGGGGGTTAGGGGAGGCACAGCTGAGCATGAGTCTCAGAGAAACCCTCTGGCATGGAAAGTGAGGGAGGGGGGCAAAGTCACACAAGATGGGCTTTTGGGCTTTCAGGAAGGTGTGGGGGCTTCTTGCCTGTCTTGGTCCCAGAAGGTAGGGTGGCTTGTTGAAAGAGGCCTGTCACCTGAACTGTCACAAAGTCCTACTTTACCATTTACTGGCTGTGTGACTTTGGACAAGTGCTGACCTGCTCTGGGCCTTGGTCTGTCCATCTGTAAAATGGGGACAAAAAGAAGGTAGACAGTGCTCTTCCTTTGCTGTTATTTTAGGGAGGTTTTAGGGACTAAAGCAAATGACTGGGTGGGAAGTGCTTTGAAGGGCATGGCAGGCAGAGAGAGGTCAGCTGCCCCTGGTGCTGTCACATCAGGGCTGCCCTCCCTACCCAGGTCTCAGAGGGAATGGGGCCTGGCCAGCCCTGTTCTGCAGGCCGAGAGGTGGATCCATGCCGGGCAGCAGGCTACCGTGTCAGGCGTGAGGCCAATGCCCGGTGTGGGGTGCTGAAGTCCTCTCCATTCAGTCGCTGCCATGCTGTGGTGCCACCAGAGCCCTTCTTTGCCGCCTGTGTTTATGACCTCTGTGCCTGTGGCCCTGGCTCCTCTGCTGATGCCTGCCTCTGTGATGCCCTGGAAGCCTACGCCAGTCACTGTCGCCAGGCAGGAGTAGCACCTACCTGGCGAGGCCCCACACTGTGCGGTGAGGGGGTGATGCCCACTGCAGGTTGGGGGAGGGTGAGCACAGAGAAGAAGGGCAGCCTGGAGGGCTCAGAGCAGAACCAGGAGGGTATGGCGAGTCTCGCAGGGGTACGCACAGCGACTGGGGCAGTTACAGGTACTTCGGTGACCCCGCCTCCCATTCCCTCTGCAGTGGTGAGCTGCCCCCTGGACCGTGGCTTCGTGTTCGATGAGTGTGGCCCGCCCTGTCCCCGCACCTGCTTCAATCAGCATATCCCCCTGGGGGAGCTGGCAGCCCACTGCGTGAGGCCCTGCGTGCCCAGTTGCCAGTGCCCAGCAGGCCTGGTGGAGCATGAGGCCCACTGCATCCCACCCGAGGCCTGCCCCCAAGTCCTGCTCACCGGTGCTCTGCCCAGCCGAAGCTGGGAGCCCCAGGAGACATCCTGAGCCAGGACAGGGCCTGACCAGGGTTCACCACGCCCAGAGTCTCCCCTTGGCAAGCAGCTCCCACCCTGGTCAAGGCTGAGGAGAGAAGGCCTGCCTGAACACTGGAGCTTGGGCCCTTGCCCTGCAAAGACCCCCGCTGTGTTGAGTCACAAGCAGTAAACTCTAGGCCTGCCGAAAGCTTCCGTGTGTGTGTGTGTGTGTGTGTGTGTGTGTGTTTCCTTCTGGTGCTGGGACAGAGGCTGGGCTGCTGGGAACATGGGGTCCAGGGATCAGTGGCCCCAGAATCACAGCGCCATGCTCACTCCTTGCACCTGCATGCCTGGGCTGCCCCACCCAGCCACTCCCTGGTGCTGTCTGGGAAACCCTGCAGTGGGCAGAAAGAGGATCCAGGTGTCCTGTGCTCATTCTGTGTAGCAGGCATGCCCCATGGCCCCATGTAGTACCTTCTGTGGATCCATGTGGGATCCTGCAGGGGCTGAGGAACCACGGAGAAGAGGCCTCATCAGAGAATGGCTTCCCCTTTCCTTGTGTCTTGGGGGTGCTGAGTTGCAGGCACCTTCTGGACCACTCTCAGAGCTAGTGACACGGGGACCCGATGCCTGGGGTGAGGAACAGGAGAAGCAATAGACCGCAATGCAATATGGACTGTGCCTGTGTGTGCACACAGAAACACAAACACACACAGAAACACAAACATACAGAAACACATGCAGAAACACAAACACATACAGAAACACATACAGAAACACATACAGAAACATACACAGAAACACACACAGAAACACATGGACAGAAACACACACAGAAAGACACACAGAAACAACACACAGAAACACAAACATAGAAACACACACAGAAACACACACAGAAACATACACAGAAACACAAACAGAAACACGCACAGAAACACACAGAAACATATACAGAAACACACACAGAAACACACACAGAAACACAAACATGGAAACACACACAGAAACACACGCAGAAACACAAACATAGAAACATGCACAGAAACATATACAGAAACATACACAGAAACATACACAGAAACACACACAGAAACACAAACATGGAAACGCACACAGAAACACACACAGAAACATACACAGAAACACACATCCGTCAGAAACCCAGACAAACATGTGCAATGCATATCTGCCTGTCTTCACAACCACACCCACCCTGGGCAAAAGTGTGGGCAGTAGACAGGCAGAATGTGAAGACAACACCATAGGGAGAGATCATGAGTTTGGGGACAGAAAAAGGCCAGAGTTCGAGTTTTCTTTGCCACCTACCAGCTCTGTGGGCTTGGTGTTTCAGGGACCTTGCTCATGAGGTCAGGGGACTCCAACCTCATTGCTGGGTCCCTGATATTCCAGCAGGGAGTAAAGGGCTTTATGCTCAGGCAAGGACGCAGGAGAGTGCTGGGTTGAACTGAGGGCCACTCAGCCTGCTTGCTGCTTCATAGACTGTTCTCTCTTCTGGCCAAGAGGAGGGTCTGCACCGTTCTCTCATGGAACGGGACAAAGTAGCGGGCAGGCAGATCTGCTCACAACAGGGAAGGAGGTAAAGATGGCAGAGCTCCTTCACTCAGCCCTTCTCCTGATTGGATAACTTAGATGACCTGTCTATTCATCTGTGAGACGATGATGGTAACAACAAGCATCTGGTATGTGTCAAGGAATGAACAGTGACCCATGGACAGCACTTACTGGGGGGGGCTGCATGGGACAAGCACGTGGGCAGTGCTCACCAGGGCAGGGCCTCTTACCACTCTCCTCTTGCTGATGGACAGCATGGGCTCCCAAGACCGCGTCTTCCTAGAGGGTATCACGTCCATCCAGCTCCAGAGGAAAAAACATTGCAGCATGTTAGGACCAGTTATTCCTTTTTTTTTTTTTTTTTTGAGAAAGAGGTTTTCTCTTTGTGTCCCCGGCGCCTTAACCCCCCAGGCTCAATTAATCCTCTCATCTCAGCCTTCCAAGTAGCTGTGACTACAGGTGCATGCTACCACACCTGGCTTTTTTTGTAGAGTTGGGGTCTTGCTATATCACCCAGGCTGGTCTCAAATTCCTGGGCGCAAGCCATCCTCCCACCTCATCCTCCCAAAGTGCTGGGATTACAGATGTGAGCCACCACACTTAACACACTTGACCTAGAACAAGCTTCTCTTTCTTTCTTCCTTTCTTTTTCTTTCTTTCCTTCTTTCTCTCTTTCTTTCCTTCCCCTCCCTCCCTTCCTTCCTTCCTTCCTTCCTTCCTTCCTTCCTTCCTTCCTTCCT